TAGTAAAATTTTGCGTTATTTACAATTTTTTGCATTTTCTTATATTTTTTGCGTTTGTTTTGTTACACAAGATCCTGGGATTTTATTGGATCCGATCTACGAAATTTATGATCGGAAGTGATCTTCGGCGATCTTCAGCCCGGAATTTACTTGACATAAGGGTACCCTCAGGGATAGTGATTTTGCCTCTCAAATAAAAATTAAAAATATATACTAACATTTTCCTTAAAAAGTTTAAGACTTCTTATGAATGTCAGCTTAAGAGACATGATGTAGAAAAATATGAAATAGAGACGTATGGAATTACATATGCACCGGATGAGAAAGATAATAGCAAACCGGATAAGAACAAATATGCAATGGTTCTTGAATATGCAGATAAAGGAAATCTTAAAACATATATATCAGAAAATTTTATCAACCTTACTTGGAAACAGAAAATAGAAATTCTCTGCCCAATATCAGATAATTTAAATCACATTCATCAAGAATATTGTCATAGAGATTTTCATAGTGGTAATATACTTATGACAAGTGTTGCGGATTTTGCGGATCTTACATTTGATACTTTTGCTATAGGCAACAAAGTAGTATTAGTTTCACAAAATAATACTAAAAAAAAAATCAAGAGTAGAACCGAAAATTATTAATTTTGGTTTATCTAAAAATATAAATGAATAGCCAACAATTATGAAATATGGTGTGCTTTCTTATGTAGCACCTGAAGTATTATCAAATGAACCATACACAAGTAACTCTGATATTTATAGTTTAGGTGTTATTATGACAGAAATGTCAACGGGGAAACCTCCTTTCAGTAATGTTTTACATAAATCTACTGATTTTTATGAGTTCGTAATTTTGGGAAAACGGCCTGAACTTGCTTTAAGGACACCCGATTGTTATATACAACTTGCAAATAGATGTATGAATGGTAAACCATCAGAATGGCCAGCCGCTAAAGAGGTTTATGACACATTCTATGAATGGAAAATAGCTCTTAGCAAAAATCCAAAAGAATTGAATGAAAATCAACTTGAAATAAGAAATAAATTTCTAGAAGCAGATAAAGAACAATCTAAAATGAGCAATAGTGATTTTACATCATTGGCTTCTTCGCGACAATATCAATATGATGACATTTCTAGCATTATGGGTAATAATAATCTGTTATCTCAAAAAAAGTTTTTTTTTTTTAAATATAAACCTCTCACAAATTTATAATTTTATTTATATAGCGATGTGTAATCATATTGGGACTTCTCATAAAGACTTGACTGAACAATTAACTATACTGTAGATGGTTTGTAGTAAAAAGAAAAAGAAATATATAAAATTTTGAAGATTATAAAATAAATTAAAAGATGTCTATAGTTAATTCTTTGCATACCGTAAATGTGTACAAGGTTGTGTTCCCGACGACTACTTGAACAAATTTAATACAATAACAATGCATCAGTGATAACGATAATGATTTATATAATAAAGTCAATTTTTCTCCTGTGTTGCACTTTTAAATACTTTCATTTTTGTATCTTACGGTGTTTGTACACGAAATTAAAAAAAAAAAAAAAAAATTATATTTTGATTGAAAAATAACTTAGGCCAATTTTTAGTATAATTATCAAACTTATTATCGTTATAATTCAAGTTTACTAAAAGACCTTAATCAATATTATATTTTATATTTGTAAAGAAACAAAGATAAGTTTACTACAACTTTAATATCATTATATTATCCATTAAAAGCTCTTCATTGTTTAAATAACATTTCAATATTTATTTGTATTTTCATAAGGCAAAATTTTCTTAGTTATTTATATAATTTTATTTTTTATTATCAAAAAAATTACAATCAACCTTTTTATATCGAATTGAAAGTTCATTACAGCCCATAGCGCTTTTATAACGAGCTATTTATTATATAATTTGAAAATTTTAAGTAATTTTAAGTTATTTATATTCAGAGTTCGTTATAGAGAGATTCATTGTATAGGATCAACTATATAAAGTACAAAAATAATTTATCAAATAAAAATAAATTGGTTTCATTAAATAGCTTTTAAAATTTTTTTTTCATTAAATAAAATATATAAATTAATTTTTTTTTTTGATATGTTCGTTAAATTTATTATATATTATTAAGTAATAATTGAAATGTACTACCACTACAAAACCATCCCGTGTTCATCCGGAGCGCAACTTTGTACACATTTACGGGTAAATAACTATGATATCTACTGTACGTCACAAATTCGCTGGTCCGATTTCAAAAATTATTAAACGTATCAATATCTTATTTACTTAATAAAATTCTTACTAAAAACATGTTCAATAAAATTTTCATAATCAATAGAATTTATAGAACCTTCTTGATAAAAGACCATTACCGTATAGTTTCGAAATTAAGCACCCTTTTTTTGTTATAAGAGGTGTTTATTTTCGGATATAATTTTAAGATAAATAATATAGAATTTTTGTACTAAGTAAATTTCTAACGACAGTAAAATCATAAAAATTTGTCCAGTAGAACTTTCACAATTCTCTTCAAAATTTGGGCAATGTTTGTTTACATTTGCTTTTGGAATTATACGGTAATACACAATGCACCTTCCATGGTGAATCATCTTCCTCAAACAAAGATGTGTTTTTTTTGAGCATGCATTCCTGAAAAATTCCAGCCATAGCGTCGTGATAGCGTTCTTCTGTCATAAGCAGTTTCATCTAAAAAAAACAACTAACTTAGAGATTCGTAAAGTGAAATTGGTTCTATTAACTTCATTTATCTCTTTTGTGAGTTTTGAAATCTATAGAATAAAATTGTTATAAAATTTATAAAATAAAAAATATTTATTATAATATACGAAATATTACCCTTTTGTGTGTATATCCAAGTCGGTATATAGCCCAGCCAAAGTTCTATCTCGGATTGTAATTCATACAAGTATCAGTCAGGTTTTCATTCATAAAATTTTGATTATTCATGTTTAGAGAACGTGGTTTTCTTGAAAGCGATACAGAAATATCTTTGAAAATGCACAAGCACCCGTCTTATAGAAGACATGCTAATACCTGAGTGTTTTGCAATTTTTTGAATTAATAGTCTTTTAAATTTTTTTCAATAATTTACAATAATTTGCCAGCGAATGTGCTTTGAAAATATCATATTTTTTGAATTCAACAAGAGATATGCATAATATTACTGTATATTAGTCACCTAATTTTAAATTACGTATATTAGGCCATATAAAGTTAATTGTTTCTCATAACCCGGTCGGGTCAGCTTTTGTAAATTTTCAATACAAAATTTTATGTTATTTACTATAAATACTTCCGTGTGGGTTTTTTAATAAAAATTTTTATACATTTTTAATATTTTCTAGAAAAAGAAAAACTTATAAAATTTTTACGATTTAAAAATTAAAAGCCGGGCGGGCGGGTCACTTTTAGAATTCTATGTTATGAGAAACAATTATTTAATTTTGTATAGCCTTATAGCGATAGTAAATCATAAATTTGGTTCCATTATAATTCTCCGTATTAAGCGATATCCGTTATATCCACGTGTTCTGTATTAGTGTGATGTGAGATGAATGTTAAGTTTTGTGTTTTTTATTAATGTATTGATATTTTATTTCTTACAGAACTTATCGAATAAGGTTGTTCTCAAGCAGCTCCCTCAATGAGATTTGCTAGTGATCGAGATGCTGCTCAATCATTTCGATTAATCGAAATTAATTGAAATGATCTTTATAACGATTTTGCCGGAAATTCATTGTGCAAAATGCGGATTTTGAATTTTAGCCAATCAGAGTAACTCTATGAAAAAGAGATGGTTGTTAATTCCAGGGTTTTTTTGACCAAAACTGATCCATTTTTTCAACTAATCAGATAATTTTATTAGCCATAGATGGAGGTGCTTGAGAACAACCTAAATGTAACAATGATATAATAAACTAGAACAGTTTTTATATAATTCTCGAAATAACAAAAACTAATTAAAATTTGATATAAGAAAGCTAAAGCCAAAACCAGTCTATAATAAATTCGCTTGACATAAGAAAGTTGTTAATAAAGTCTCAATATAAAAAGGGTTGTAAAATTTCTACTATTGATCCCATCTCTTTCTTATATTAAGATTAAAAATTATTTTTTACACCTAATTATTATTACGGTTTGTATAATTTTGTGACTTATATGATTATTGCGGTTCGCAAAATTCCGTGATCAAAAAAAAAAAGAATTTCTGATTGCCGATTTCTTTAACATTACTTCTGATGGCATGTGTATATCAACTATAAAGACTTATACATATATATATAATGTATATTTATTAGAATACATTTTTTTTAAAAAAAAAAATATTTCTAATGACCAAAATTATTATCCCGGAACATGCTTTGGATGCACAGCGTCTTTTTTGTACAAATTTATTGTAATGAAAAAATATAGATATATTCCAATAAAAAAGTTCCTTAAGTTTTTACTTTGAAATTCCATGATTCTATCAGTAATAAACAAACTAATTTTCTAGTATCATGTAATAATTCTTATAAGACTGAATTTGGTGCAACTTTTAAATTTTATCACGTAATAGTAAATTTTATCGGGCTAGAAAAGAAAATTTTAATATTACTCAATCAAGTTCTTTACAACATCATGAATATGCAAACTATATTCCTACAAAATATGCTAAATCAAAATATGTTACAAAATTATGAATCTACAACTTTTATTTCTGCAAAAAAATGTTAAAGAAATCGTCAATCAGAATCAGAAATTATCGATTTCTTTTTTGTTGATCTGCAAATTTGCAAACCACAATAAAAACTACCTTGCTTTAGACGACCTCCGGATTTAGCAATCACGATCGCAATCATAATCATTTAAAAAAATTAATCAGGGGTCACAAAATTATGCAAACTGCAATAATATAAAAATTAGACGAAAAGCATAGGTACGAATAGTCATGTTATTGGAATAATGCCGGCACGCCAAAGGTGCCGGAAATAAATTCAATTAAAGGACTTTAAGTCCGCAGAATACATTGTGAATAATTTGAGCTGAGTGATTTGAGCTGAGTAATTTGAACTGAACGATGATATGTTCCCGGGAAAATTAGCAAGTGAGGTTGCGCCCAGGTATCATCGTAACAGTAGAATGAGTGAGAAGCAGCATCAGCCGGTGGTTTCCCGCCTGCTCGAACTG